TTCCGATCTGGTCTATTTTTGCAACTATTTTGGACTCAGAGATGTTAATCTTTCCCTTAAGTCTTGTGATATAAGTTTAACAAGGCCGCATTTGCTTCTCGTCGGTGGAAGGTACTTGCCTTGGTTTTCTTACCCGGAATTGTATCTCTGTGTCTTTTATTATTTATGAAAGTTAAAAAGTATAACATGTTATTTTGACCCCTGTGGCAGTGATGCATTTGCTCGTCTGTATGACAGAAGGATGCTACCACCACTGACATCCTGCCAGCAAACGGCATCTCCTCCTATGTGTGTCAATTATTTCTGTCCAATGCATCTTTCTGAACGTGTTAGTTGATTCTGGTTTCTGCCTTCTTATAGATATTTTTTATAGTCATCTTCTTTCTTCTGTGCATTTTGGATCTCAAAAAATTAATAAACATAGAAGAAAATTCTGGGACAGAATGCTAGACATTCGCATTCTCTTTGGATCGGAGGGGCTCAAAGATTTATATTGGGGCAATTACATTTCTATCGCAATATAGTTTGCCTTGTGAAATGTGTTTACATGCTTAGCTCCAGTTGACTCCCATATTTCAGGGGCGATCAAACTTGCACCTAACACATGTCACTTTCAGTCCTGATGGAGACGAGGTTTTACTTAGTTATAGTGGGGAGCATGTGTACTTGATGAACGTAAATTACGGTAGGTACAATTCAAAGGCTTACTTCTACATGCTTAATGCTGTAATTGCATGCATTATGAGATTTCTTTAAAGAAAAGCAAGTGAATTTTCATATAATGATGCTTCATTTTTCACTTTATTTATTTTATCTGATTTCACTCTTCATGCACATTGTAGTGCAGTTGAAGACATTGTTGCCTCATCTTTGTTGAGTATTCAGATAATAATGCTTGTTTGTGAAACCCTTTTAAAAAAATTGATTAAATGCTATGTGTTATCCTACCAGATCTTTGCTACGTTATCTCTCTTTTTTTCCCAAGATTGCTAGTGATTTAAATGCATGAAAACATTGGCATATTTGTTGTTTTTAATTTTTTTCATTTCAAGCTTCTTTTGTGCCAACGATACATTTAGTTACATAAATTTCTGTCGTTGAGTTGGCAATCTCATTTCAACTATAGAGCTTTGTGGTTTTGCCACCCAATTCTCCATAGAGCTTTGTGGTTTTGCCACCCAATTCTCCATGGAATGTTGATCTTGGAACTTATTTTGCTACTTTGTTTCCCACTCAAATAACTTTACTGCACTTTTCTTTGGATCTGTCGGTTTCAGGCATTGGATCTATGCAATACAGTCCTGGAGATGTAGCAACCCTGTTTTCTTTCAATCAAATATTCCATGGTGTTGAATCTCAACCTCAGGTCTCCAACTTTTCTCAAAATGACAACCACAAAAGCAGCAACCATGCAAGGGTTTGTTCCCTCCTTGTATATTTGTTCCTCAAAATGGTAATCACATTCCATTCTCTTTTTGTTTCCTGCATCTGACTCCAGTATTTTCAGCTGAAAATGTGCAGGGAGTTGGTCGAAATGGCTATAAGATCCTTAGAAGAGGGAGCTGACATTTATTATGCAATAGAGGCATGCAATGAAGTTTTGGATGGGTATCCCGATGAGATTGAATCTGAGTTAAAACATGAGTGCCTTTGTACTCGTGCCGCCTTATTGCTCAAGGTCCTTTAGAACTATTGTCCAAAACTGGCTTGCAAGCCTTTCATTTGATTCTTTTTGATGATCTTTAATTGGCAAATTCAATGGTCTTGCAGAGGAAGTGGAAGAATGATGTTCATATGGCTGTACGAGATTGTCAAAATGCTCGAAGAATCAACGCTTCCTCCTTCAGAGCTCATTATTATATGGCTGAAGCATTGCAGCAAGTATATCTCTTAAATTTAGATTTAAAAAATGCTGCATGCGGTATATTGCTTAGATTTGAAGTTTGGTGATTACCCTTTTAGAAATCGATGACTGCTCTTTCGGGGGGAAAAAATTATATGGCATTATAGGAAAAACCTTCTTGCATCCACACATTATGTAGACACTGAATATGAATGAACTGGCATATACTATTTGCTCCATGTCTCAATTAGGCATAAGTCACTAGGGTATTTATGTTAGGTTCACAGATGTCAATGTGTTAACCATTTTGCTATCTTGTTTTGCTCTGGACTTTTATGCTTAGGCTTGGCGTATATGCTCAAGTGAAATCGTCCTGCAATATGCAATTTCTGTGTAGTTTGTCCCCCTTCCTTTCTTATCCCTCTCTATTTACACGCAGTTGGGGAGGTATAAAGAAGCACTTGATTTTGCCGTTGCTGCACAAAGTCTGAACCCACCACCTAATTCTGATATAGTGACTAAGGTGGAGAGTATCAAAAGGGATTTTGAGGCAGGTTTGTGACACTGATGTATGCCTTCGTGCAAATATATGCCCATTATCCTTTTTTTGCTATTTGTTGTTTGTTCATTGAGTTTTACTAGGTTTCAACTAATCCTTTCTGGTAGTGTTTTTGGTGCAACTCCTTTCCGGCAATTACTTAGCACAAGAGTAAAATAATGAGAAAAATATGGAAATCATGGATTCATGAATCTATTGTGGAAATTTTAAAACAAAAACAATGTGGGAATTTGGTCTATTTTTGCAACTATTTTGGACTCAGAGATGTTAAGATTCAGCATGACAACATTTTTCTGTCCTTCCTCCCTTTTGATGTTTGTTCGGTTCTTTTTCTACATTGCGTTCTGCCTTCTCATTATGGGGTACGGGATTGGGTTTGCTTGTTCGACTATTTGTTGTTGGATAATGCCTAATTTCATTAACAATTTTGCTCATCGTGATGTAATTGATTTTAAAAATAACAGAAGTGAACCTGTTCTTTTAGATTAAAAGTCAGTCTCTCATATCCAAGGATATTTTTTTCGGGGTAAAATCTTTGATAAGTCTATGACCAAGGAAAACTATTTTATTAACTTTATGCTTTTCTATACTTTTCTTGTAATTGACAAATCAGCGGAAGCTGAAAAAAATGACAAGACAGACGGTCAGACTTCTAGAGTACTTTCATTGAGTGACATACTCTATAGATCAGAGGCCAACAGTGACACTTCACATGATATGCCGAGATCTGAAAGAGAAGGATCTGAGAATGATGAGGAACTGGAGCTGGATACTGAAACATCAGGATCAGGTGATAGAGGACGTGAATATGATGTGGACTCGAATGCTCTGTGTGGAAATGATAACCAACAATTTCCCTGTGTAGTTGATAGAGCTGCAGAAAACGCTGGTTCTAGTGGCTCCTCTGGCCCTCCATCTTCGTCATTGCAAAATGACAAGTCTTATCAGGTACCGTTTCGTCTATCTGGCATAGAACTTATTTATGCATCTCAACTTAGGCTTTTATCTGCCATAGTTGAAAGAAAGTAATTTTGCTCGGATGGTAGAATAAACATTTTCAGTATTAAAAAAAGGTAAAGTTCTACACTTTTTTAAATACCGAAGGCCGTTAGGATAAGGTTACCTAGTTTCATTGCTTTTAACTGGTGGAGATATGGAAGCGGTAATGCATGTTGTAGCTCATTCAAGAATGATGACCATTTCAAGCCATGTTGGAGTTTTTTTATTGGCTGTAGTTTGTTTTAAGTAGCAGCATCTGTTATATTGTTGACGTGAGATGTTTTTGTGTAAATATTCTTCTGCCAGTATTTTGTATTTCGGTTTTCATTTCCTCTTTTTTTTTCATTTTTCCTCTCATTCTTATTTTAACCGGGCTATTTGTTTCTTGGTGGTTGCAGCCAGAGCAATCCATAGATATGAAACGTAGATATATTGGCCACTGTAATGTTGGAACTGATATTAAGCAGGCCAGTTTTCTTGGTCAGAGAGGTAGGTTGCCTTGGTTTGCCTCCTGGTGCACTGTTTTTGTTTATAAAACGTTGTAGACTGCGAACGCATGCATGTATGTCCGGGAATTCGAAATTCATTTCTGAGTTTTGAGTATGGAAAACCGTCTGTTGAGTCCTTGCCTACTACCCACTTGTTGGCATATGCTGTGAAGCTGCAACTTTACTTGTTGAGTATCCATTGTTATTCCCCCTTCTTGCCCAGCTGAACTAGTTTACTAGAAAAACGTGAACTGATATTTCTTAGAATAAGTTAGAGTGAAGAGCTCCAATTGTAGTGTAGCCCAACAATTTGAGATTATCATAGATATAGAGTATAAGTTGGAAAGAGTTGGTTTCTAAAGAGTTTGGCGTTGCAGATCATGCATATAACAAAGCTATTTACTGGTAGCCAGAAAAAGAAGTCTTGAAATTTTCAGCGGAATGACACCTGCTTTCAATGAATATTTCCTTTTCATTTTTCAGGTGAATTTGTTGCTAGTGGAAGTGATGACGGTAGGTGGTTTATATGGGAGAAACGGACGGGTAGGCTGATAAAAATGCTTCTCGGGGATGAAGCTGGTATGGTGACCATTTGCTTTCCAGAAAATTATCATTCACCATTTTGTCGACTTTTTTTTTCCAGCTTCTAAGATCTTGTCTCTTTTACCTTAGTTGTGAACTGCATACAATGCCATCCATTTGACAGTGTCGTGGCAACCAGTGGAATCGACGACACTATAAAGGTTGAGGTTACACAGGTTTGAATTATATGGGTTTGTTTTACGAACTTCCTTTTATTAACCCACTAAGTGTATGTTTACAGATATGGAGCCCAACTGCGTCAGGCCCGTCAATTGTTGCGGGCGGATCAGCTGGACCCGAGACCGCCAATGTATTGGAAGCTATGGAGGCTAATCAGCAAAAACTAAGCCGTAACCGTGAGGCTATCCTGTAAGTTTTCGATTATCTGAAAACTACCATCTCGTCATATTTGCCGTTGGAGAAATTAGGCTCTCAAACTGGGCTCGATGGAATTCTATTTTGGTGCTATAGGAGACAATATATCTAGAATACTAAGAAAGAAAGAGAGAAAAAAGAAGATGAAAAATTCAGATGGTGTTAGTATACCATATGCACACACAGATTCACAGATATGTTTGGAGAATTTGACTTCGATTTCTTTCGAAGATTCTTTTCCCAAATTTACTCCTCAGTATCATAACTAATAGAAATATGGTTCTATGGTTCAAAGAAAGCTTTGTCATTGTCGATAAATTAAGCTCCGGGATTATCTTGTCCCGATATATGTTGAGTTCATTGTTTTTTTATTTTTGGTTTATTCTGTTCTTTTTGACATTCTGTATCCACTACATATATATATACACAATGCAGGCCCGTGGAGCTGTTGGAGCGATTTCGAATGCACGAGTTTTCGGAGGGAACTTTGCACCCATTTGAATGTACTCAAAGCTAAGTAGGGTCGGCTTTCAGTTTCAGGTAACCTTCTTACATAACAAATATAAAAAAACATTAAACTGATCTAATAATACTATTATGCCTTTTGAAAAAGTCAAACGCCTTTTATGTTCATTCATTGCCAAGTCAAAAGTCTTTAACTAAACACCTTGGTGTATTTTTTTTGTGAAATTAAACTTTTATGTTTGTTTTTTTTTTTGCTGGAAGAAATGGTGGGATTATTTTCCCCTAATAAATAACACTACCTATTTGGTGTAATATGATACCTTTTGTTTCCTTTGTGGCAGATGAATAATAACCAGTTTGAAAGAGGGAAGACTGTCTCAGGTTCAACTTTCTATGCGAGGTTCATTTGCTTTTGTGCTTTTGTACAGTGTGTCCTCTCTCTCTTTCAATATATATATACATGTATATATGTATGTGTGTGTGTGTGTGGTTTGTGTAAATAGCCTTTCTTATATTCTCCCTGTTAATGGAAATATGATGGGCTCAACAATAGCCCACGTAATAATGAAAATGGTTCTTCTATTCGTAGAACTGTTGAGGCCCATTTGATTATCTTCCGGTAAAAATAAAAAAATAAAAAATAAAAAAGGGGGGAAACATGGGTTTTGGAGGGTTTGTGTCTTCTTGTCCTTTTGTTTTTTTTTTTTTTTTTTTTTTCAATTTTCCTTTCTACAGGAATTCTGTTTTTTTTTTTCGTTTCTTTTTCATTTTATCAAGTGAGATCGTTTCTAACGGGAAGACTTATATATGTTTGAAAATAAAAGAAATTTCTCGCTAATATGAATTTCAGTTGTATCCTAACAAGAGATAATATCTTCTAGATTCAAAATTGGCGCTATAAAAAAGGTACTTTTAAGCAGCAGAGAATGTTTGGTTGATTATTTAATCACAGTTTCTAAATATAATTAATCAAATTAATATGTACCAAAATCATAAGCCCTGATCAAACATTACACATGAACCAAAGCGATATTCCCGTATCTTCTCTTCACTGTTCAAATGAAGTAACCAACGCATATAATGACAAAATAAGTAGAGTAAACTATTGCGTAAATGATTAGTATGAAATAATTAGATATAGTGTTGGTGCTAATGTATTGGCCAGCACTATAATAATATTTCTTCAATTGTTTTTTTTCCTTTTTATAAATATTGATATTTTTAATTAATTAATTTCATTTATTGGGCGCTCCATAAAGCAAAAATGGAAACTACTTTTGACCAGATACCTAGCATTTTTATAAAAAAAAATTTGCGTTAGCAATAAAATAAATATTTCAAATTCAAGTATATGTAGATATTTTTTAATTTTAGAACAATTCGATGTGTATTAATTTACAAATAGTGACGAATTTCACCGAATAAAGTGTGATTTCAAGCATGAACTGAGCAACGTGCTTTCCCCTCTGAAGGATCATGTATGTCGGGTTATCGATATGCTTAAGGGATTAATTAATGGAGAACAAAGAAAAAGGGATATGGAGTTGGGCCAACAAGATAATGCATACCTTATCTCTAATAATTTCATGACAAATAGAATATACATATATTTATAATGTATAATTAATTATAAAGATATAGATAATTGGTATGATGTGTGATTAAAGTATGTTTAAGGATAACGTTCAGATAGATCGATACGAACAAAAAAAAAGTAAAGAAGACGACCCATCACCCATCTCTCGAATTTAATGCTCCCAAAATATTATATATATCGGTGTTACAACTTGTTTTAAAAAATGTATAACACCTACGTTAACATAAACAATAATGATATTAATACATTAATGTTAGACACAGGAAATTTACATATATTACATTATATTATATATATATATATGGACTCCACAGTATTAATTATCAAGTTTTGTGAACATTTTTTTAAAATAAAGTAATTAAACATGGTTAAAAAGAAGGAAGCATGGAGACAGTAAACCGGCGTCGGAATCGTAGGGCCGTTTACATGTGTATACTTAATGCATTATTATATGCATACACATATGTTAATCATGTTTGATACTTTGATAAATTCATCAATTAGTAAACATATATTTGTTCAAATCTTCGGATTAAGAGAGGTCCAACAACAACATGACAAACATATACATAATGGTAGGAGCAAATGGGAATTTAATATAATTGTCTGAGAAATATCTTCTCCAACTACAGCTACAAACGAAGCTACCTCACGTCATTATATTACTATTATTATTACTCGTTCACTGAACTTTCGAACGTTGTCGCGTATACAGGCTTCGACTGGTTGTACCGCATCGGTTGCGGTTGCGGTTGCGGGTGATGGCGTTTTCAGGACGTTTGATAGTGATTATAAATGATAAGTACTGACTGGTTGATAAGTGGTTGTTAGTAGCGATTGGGGTGGATACGGTTAGAAGTGAATGATTCGTTGCGGTTGCGGTTGCGTTTTGATATAAATTATAAAAAGAATATTATTTTAAAATAATTTTTTATAATAATTTTAATCAAATTTTCAATATCATTTGATAAAAATTATTTACTAAATTTATAATAATTAAATAATAAATTGTATATATTTTATTAAAATATAATACTAAAAAATAGTATCAAATCATAACACTAAACAAAATTATCATAAATATATATATATATATATTAGAGTTTTATATAATTTTTAATGAGGATGTTTTAGTTTTTTTTGTCAAAACGTTGGAAACCGCTACCAAAATGCAGGTTACATGCTGCGATTAGAAAACACAAGTTTGGCTGCGATTGCGGGTGGTTGCGATTCAACTAGTCAATTTTTTAATCGTCTGCAACCGCCGGAAATCGCAACTGCTCCGTTTACGGGTAGCGCCGGTAACGAGTCGCCCCCATAATACATAGATATTTATTAAATATTTATCTGAAACAATTTTTGTTCACTATGAACTGTTAAATAACAAGAATACACGATTAATTAATCTAGTTATAAATGATGGATTAAATTGATTTCCATGAAAAATATAATTATTTTCGAAATTGTGTAAAAATCATCCAGTTTATTCCAGAAAGAATATATGAATAGCCAAAATTTTGATTTTGCGAATAGATCGAATGTAATTGGACAGCAATTGTTGTATAATTATTTATGAATTTTATAAGATAGAAAAAAAAGGGGAAATAATTAAAGGAAATGGAAATGGTGGGTCGAGCAGCACTATCTTCTATGGAATAAACAGCCAAAAGGTATGGAGCGTTGAAGTGCATAATTATTGGTTTATATATATATTATCATTCTTTACTTACATACATACGTATATATTACATTATATATATATATAATCATTCTTCAATTACATACATACGTATATATTACATTTTCTACATACAGTTTTTTGGTCCGACCAATATTGATGTTCCATTTAGCATGAGTAATGAACAAAAAATAATTTTACCGAACATTACCAGTGAAAAACCAAACTTTGAATATATATATATATATATATATATATATATATATATAAAAGTGTGAGCTTGCTTCCATTGTCTATCTATAAGAAGCTCAACATTGGAGATCTTAAGCCGACAAGGATGGCACTACAGTTGGCGGATAGATCCGTCAAGTATCCTGCAGGTATTCATTGAAAGTCAGGGATTATTATGTTCCCGTTGATTTTGTTGTTTTAGACATGGACGAGAACTCGAAGATACCTATCCTACTAGGCCGACCGTTCTTATCGTCCATATATAACGA